TACAGAAAGTGAATAAAGTTCAGTGAAGCCATGAAACTGTAACACTCCATTTTTCTGGAATTGAAGCTTCGGATAAGCTGATCAGTTCGATTACACCCTCACATGCAGTCTGAACTGTGTGACACGGAAGCAGGCCGAAACGGCTGTTCACGCACTGCATCAACAATCCCAGCGCGAAGACCATAAGCAAAAGGGGAAGTGGATAAAGCGACCGGAACAACGTGATAAAATGCATAAATGAGAGAGGGATGACCATTCCTCCCGCATCTGGCAATATCGACTAACGTGATTGTTTCTACATAGTTTAGTAATGTCTGTAATTTGTTGTCTGGGGTAAGGACCAGATTGGAGACACTCTACAGTGCAATGTGATTGCACCAGGAAACAGACAGGACTACTACTATTTCGCTAAATAAACTTGTCGACTGGTCTGACGAATACAATCGTATGGAGCTTTGTTAAGAATCGATGCTGAAGAGAACGACCGGTGCAACTCGCAGCGCACGCTGCCAGCGTAATAACTGAAAAAACAATGTGCGCGCGCGCATGCGTGAGCAGACACACCAGCCCAAAGGATGGATGCACAGACTAACAATATCTGTTCGGTAAGGCACGAGATCCACGTGACAATCAATACTTTACATTGACAGCAGCAACAGCAACAATGTTTGGTCACAAGGTAGAGTGATTAGGAGAAGCCAATCAAGTGGTCAGGCCGAAAGGGGATTGATTTTAGACAACGAAAACATTTTCTATATATCCTGTCTTTGTTATTATTAATAATAACCGAAGTAGTAGTAATTCATTTGTTTATTTATTTTCCACCTAATCCCCCATACAGAATGAGGTAATTTGATGTGGGACACAAACCCGCGGTAACGGAATTGCGTAGAACTGCAGAAGGTTTTGTCCTCTTTTCCATTTTTTACATGTAAGCGATCTTATATCCGATTTGTCTGTGGTATTCAAGTACACTGGCGAATTGTCATTCTTTTGATTTGGGAAAACTAAATAACGCCGTCAAACGTTTCTCAACCCAATCCGGATTAAAAGTGTACCTATTTAAATGACTTCAATGCGTACAACATCTTTCTCTGATATCCGTTTTCAGCCGACTTCATCTCAAATCCCTACCTGAAGTGAGCTTTACCACATAATTTAGTGATAGTTAAAGTTCAATGGCATTGTAAAATCAGAACTTTGAACATCCGTTCAGCAGCACTCGGACATGTTTCATCCCTCGTTAATGACGCTCACAGTTTCTTTAGTTTGTTAATCAATATGCAGGTGCTTTGCCAACATTGGTCCAGAAGATACTCCAAGACCCCACACATCGATTACATAATGATCTATCCAATTGTCCCTCTCAATCAATCACCCGCTCCGGAGTTCCGCATCGTTATACTAGTATACACTTGTACATCCCTTCGCTTCCCTAACTCTATCACTGACGTTACTGAGAATAG